GGGCTGATTCTCCAGAGAGCATAGGCAATATGATTTAGGGAGCAGTGAAAGCAGGCAGAGGCAGAAATTCGATCCCAGTTTTACTGTGTGTAGATGATTTTACTTAGCATACCTCACAATGAAGACATGTTCTTGTAATTTCATCTGTGCAAGTGCCCTGTTTTGAGCACGTAGCAGTTAAAATCTAGGTGATTATTTCATAATAACTTGCTTATGATACTGAATTTGAATAGAAATATATTGATGGAGCCCTGTACTCTGAAAAGAGTCCTGCATAGATTCTCCTAGGTCTGACTTAGTGATCCCTTAGCGATCTAGGACCAGACTACGTGAAGAGAGGCTGTGGGTATAAAGTTCAGGGCAGTTGGAAATGACATGAATACTGCAGGACCTCTTATAGCTAGCAAAAAAGGGCTGTCTCCAAGCCCTAATGTCTTGCTTTATTCTGTATATAGTTAATCAAGTTTATTTAATCCATGTATGTTTGAAAGTTTTAGTGCTACTTAATGCCTATAATTACATATTGTGCTGATTGCTGTGTTTTCATTCTTTAGAGGTTAAGAATCCAAAAAAAATTCTAGTTTTTGGTTTATAAATGCCTTTTACTAGTTTCCCCAAAATTGCTTTGCTGCTTTCAATCCTGGCTTAATGCCTCCAACACTCAGGTTCAAAAGGATGCTATTTGAGCTCAGTTTTTAAAATTTCTGTATTGACAGGTTTACATTTTCTTTTTGATTGCTCCATGGATGAGGCCAAAGACTGAACTCCCTGCAGCGAATGGTTAAGTGGGGGAAGAGGTACCTTGTATCGTTGTCCTCCAAAAGCATGATTAGGGAAGAGGGGTATCATTTTTTTTTTTGTACTGCTTAGTGGGAAGAAGGTTCAAAAAACAAGACTTCTCACCAGGAATTCCAAAGCTAAAAATATGTGGCTCTGGGGCAGATGAAGAAGTTTCAACATTGGAGGTGGGGGTGTGAAAGGGAACAAGTGAGCTTGGAAGAAAACTCAATAATTTTCAATCTCAGAAGCCTACCTTACATGAATAATTTCTCCGAGAGTAAGGCTCTTTCCAGTCAGATCTGTTGGTGCTGCTGAGCTGGTATTTCAAGTATGTCCATCTGCATTTAAACGAATTGCTCCAAGACAATCTGATTATGCGGTAGTTACTTTGGTGAGAATAGCGCCTCAGTGGAATGGAAACTTCATTTTGAGTCTAATATTAGACCTTGCTTTGGAAAATTCCTTTTAAATGATCACAAGCTGGGAATAGCAAAAGAATTTAACTTTCGACAGACAGCATTCACCAAGAATTTTTAACTGCTTATGTTTGGGTCCTTGGGAAAGCAGATGTGAGAAACTGACCGGACCAAATTGACTAGACTAGAATCGACTTGAGCTGATGCAGTGTTTATATCTATTGCTGATAAGTTTCCCTCCTAGTCTCATTTGCTCAAAATATTTTCATTCTTTGAGCGTGAGCATGCTAAGGATGCAAATTGTCAGGAGGCCTAATTGTCTAACGATCTAAACTTCTAGGCCTCCAGACATTGTTGCGTGTAAAGGGGTCTGAGGCAGAGCGGAAAAGGGCGGACAAGCTCTACAGAACCAAAGCCAGTTTCTGAGTAAGTGCTGGGAACTTGATCAGACCTGGCCTTCAGGATATTTTTAGTTTGTCTGGCTGATTGTGTCTGAGCAAACTCACCCAGTTTGAAGTTTTAAGTAAACTTTATTTAAAGGACACCCCCTCACTCCACCCCCACCCCCTGCAAAAACCCCAAAACCTCACCCTGACATTAAAAAAAATAATATACGTGTTAACTGATCATGAAATTTCCAGATGTCATGTCTCCTTGGCTTAACCTAAGGATAAGTTTCAGATGCCTTGCGTGCCTTGGGTTGGGAAAACCAATATTGGTGTTTGAGATAAATTTAATATTTTAAAAGGTCTTTCTGAAATTGAAATGCATCTTTTAACCACAGTGTACATTTAGTGTAGTAGGGTTTTTTTTCTCTTACTAAGCTGGCAATAAGTTGATGGTGCCTTAGAATTGAGGAGGAATATTAATAAATTAATAGGAGCTACCATTTATTGATCACCCAGTGGATCCCAGGCACTGTCTTTGCTAGGTACCAACATTATCTCTGACACTCACGGTAATCCTGTGTGGCAGCGACTATCATGAATGAGCCTGGGTTTAGAGGAGACTGAGGCTCAGAAAAGTTAGGTAGCTTGCTCACGATCACACTGCTGGTGATGGCTAAAGTGGCAGTGCTGGAGTTCACGTCCAGGACTGGTCAGCTTCACAGCATGTGTTCTTCCTTGTAGGTTATATCTTTTTGATGTTTACTATATTTGAAATTAAACCTGAGAAATTTTCAACATTTACTTATTCGTTTTTGAGGGACAGCCATAAATCCATTACATGTTAACATAAACAACATTTTTATTAAAAATAACTTTTTTCCAAAACATAGTGTCATTATTTACCTTTATGTGTATCTCTTTATTATCTAGCTAAATGGAGGGCAGCTGGATTCTCTTCTGCATTCAGTCTGTGCTGTATACTGTTTTAATTGAAGTATGTGAAGAAAATCTGGCCTCACACAAATATGTATTTGGAAAAGGGAGGGGTATTTTAATAGGCTTTTTGAATAATTGTGTATGTTCTTCCTTGATAATATACCAAAACTCCCCAAGTGATAGTTTCTTAAAGGTTAGTTGCAATATAGAATCTGAAACTATGCCAGTGGACTTTTGGTGCACTGTTACATTAAAATCTTTTGGTCTGGAATCTTCCTTACAGAAGAATTCTGAATAATGTATGTAGCTACCCTCTGACTCCAGGAAGTAGAGCTTAATTCCTACCACTCACGCCTCCCTGGGGGTGGGCTAGACCTAGTGACTTGCTTCCAAAAAGTAGAATGAGGGAAAGGGAAAAATTAGTAACTTTGTAGTGGAGAAGAAACCTGGGAAACTCTACCTTAACCAAGTGGTGAAGGTGAACATCTCCTGTGATGTCATGTGGCTGCCGTGTAAGCCCTGATGTGATGTAACTAGAAAACTCAAAATCCCAGTCTAATCGTGAGAAAGACATATCCAGATAAGAGGTCATTCTGCAGAGTACCTGACCAGTGCTACTTGATGGTCAAGCTCGTGAAAAACGAGGGGGGGCTGGGAATCTGTCACAGAACAGAGGAACCTGGGAAGACATGACAGCTAAATGCAGTATGGTACTCTGGATTGGATACTTGAACAGAAGGAGAGCATTAATGGAAAAACTGGTGAAATCCAAATAAAATCTGGAATTTACTGAATATTACCATATCAATGTCAGTTTCTAGTTTTGATGACTATATCATGGTAAAGTAAGATGTTATCAGTGGGGGAGAAATTGAGTAAAGGGTATACAGGGACTCTACTGTCTTTGCAACTTTTCTGTAAATCTAAAATTACTGCAAAATAAAAAGTTTTTAAAAATCCACTGTTATGTATTGCATTCTGAATAAATCACTTACCCATGCGTGATTTGGTAACACCATGGCCATGGTCATTTGGAAAATACTTGTTCACACAGTTATGCAGATCTTTGAAATGTTGACACATTTTATTGTTCAGTGCTTTCAAAATCTCATTTGTTAATAGCACCACCTGTCTCATCAGAAAAGTCTTTACTGAGAAGCTCTCAAGCTCATGGCGGTGGATACAAGTTTCCCAAAATTCTAATTTTCCCTTGAAAGCTCAGATGTTATCTTTGGTAGCAAACACTGCTGTTGTTTTCCTTAATGTAACAGGCTCATCTTGTTCATTTTCAAGAAAATGTCTGCCAAATATCCAAGTCTAAATAATCATAGTTTGTTTGGTAGTCATTCTTTCAAATAAAAAAGATGTTCAGTGGAAAAAAGTGGCTGATCCAACTTGCAACTCAAACAATTTGCATTGAGTCATTTTCCTTAAAACAGTTTGAGTCCTTTTCCTCAGAACAACTATCGTACTTGAGAAAGCAACAGAAGTGTTTTACCGTACTTCGCAATTTGTCACATACAATATTGAAAGACAGGTCCCGGGAATCAAGATTTTATGAAGCTTATAACTTTCACTGCTTCATCAAGGATATTCTTTTTGTTGTTCTGAAAAGAATTATTTTTAAATTTTTATTGAAATATAGTTGATTTACAATGTTGTGTTAGTTTACGGTGTACAGCAAAGTGATTCAGTTACATATATATGTATATATATATATATATACACACATATATATATATTTATATACTTTTTAAAATTCTCTTCCATTATAGGTTGTTACAAGATATTGAGTATAGTTCCCTGTGCTATACAGTAGGTCCTTGTTGGCTATCTATTTTATATATGGTAGTGTGTATATTTTAATCCCAAACTCCTAATTTAAGGGATATTCTTAAGAGGAACTAATTTTTTCCCCTCTGTGTGTGTGTGTGTGTGTGGAGGAGAAGACAGTGACCACTAGCATGGTGACCACCACTACCGCTGCCTTGATTTGTGCTCAGGCACTTTACACCATTGGTGCAAATACACCATTGGTGCAAAACACAGTGGAAAATTCCAGGAACATTTTAGTGTTCTAAATGAAAATAGTTTGACCTTTCTGACTCTCCTAAAAGGGTCTTGGGCACCCCTAGGGGTCCACAGACCACACTTTGAGAGCTCTCCTAAAGTAGCAGTCGCTAAAAGGTCACAAAGGAAGAGCTGACATAACCGAAGACCAAATCCATCAGGAAGCAAGTGGTAACATGGTGGTACCATGTGCGTAGACGATGATGCTCTTCTGGATTAACTGGTCTTACTTTTTATGGCCCATGAAGCTTTTCCATTTGTTTGTGGTATTTCCAAACCATTTTTAAATGCTGAAAGATAGACTTTGATAATCTTGTATCTGTGTTCGCTGCTATTTTTACCATCATCATTTATAAGACTTCATTCAGGAAATTCTGAAAATTACCTCTTTGTTTTCTTTTCTTTAAAGGTAAATCTCACCTGGCTATTGTGCAGCGAGTAAACAATGAGGGAGAGGGGGATCCCTTTTATGAAGTTCTGGGAATTGTCACATTAGAGGATGTGATTGAAGAAATCATCAAATCTGAGATTCTAGATGAAACAGATTTATACAGTGAGTACCATCGCCTGAGTGTAATTTTCCAAAACCTTTGCTTTTATTTGTCATGTTGTTTGTGAGTCATCTGACATCTCTCCAGCTGTTGTCTGCCTGTTTCTCATTATGCACTGTGTGTGTAGGCTGGGTACCACCTACCAGTATATTCCAGTCGCTTCATCAGAGAGGAAGAAGAGGCAGGTCCTGTAGTGTCAACTGGCCATGTTTTTTTTGAAAAGCCAACTGCTTCTAACTATTGATCTGGGCATTGCTTGCCCTGAACAGAAAACTCCATTCCTGGTTTTCACATTTATTTTACATCTGGAGGGAGACTTGTTCTTTACTAAATTTTCATTTTACACAATTAGGCAAATCGTTTTCAGATAAATTTCTGTCTGTACCTATGGTCATAATTCAAATACTTAAAAAGTGAGGGGGGATTGTTAAATCAATGGATAGCAACTGTTGAAATGTGTCTATTCCAGGACCCATGGGCCAGGGTAGAGGTGAGGTTTGCAGGCATAGTTTTGCTGGGGCAGTGGTGGTGCAGCAGCGTATATATAGAGAAAGCAGGACGGGTTAGGGTACACAGTAAAAAATGTGTTTTTCTTGTTCTGTGCTTCTCTGCCTTTTGAGAGGTGGTCTTGAATCGGGTCAGGGGAAGGGAAGTATCTACACCTGTTTGCCCAGGAGTCGGCTTGATTCTGGGCTGAGTGTTGAACATGAAACTTGTCTCATTAAAGTCCACAACTGTTTTACTGTGGAGCTTAAACCCTCTTCCTCAGCCTTACTCTTAGCAAAGTAAGACTCTTTCAAGAGTTTCTTAATGCCAGAGGTGGCCCAAGGCCTGAGATGTTCGGGGCTCTCAAAGGTGGTATAGAGAAAGAGGATCTGGGCTCTTTTTGTCCTGTTTGGCTTTTAAAGCGTGACTTGGAGGGGGAAATGGACTGTTCAAATGGCCTGGAGCACCCAGGACAAAGCTAGCCTTGCTCAAAGCGGAATGATTTGTTTTCAGTCCCGTTAGAAGGGAATGTCCCTCATTTAAAAATTTAAAAAGTCTTCCATGCACCCTTAAAAAAATACATTTTATGTTTAGCTCTTGACCTCCTTCTGAAAATGTATCTTATTTTTTCCTCACATCTGTATAGTGTTCTTTACAAAAAACACCAGTTCCTATGTGTTTTATCCTTTTGACTCTTGGAGAATAATGAGAGATTTCATAATAGAGAATATTGTTAGTATTGCGTTTACATTCTTTTCATCCTTCCTCATAGTGACTGTTTAATACCAAGTGTGTCTCTGCATATTTATGTGTTTCCCCAGGGGTAATCCTCATTGTAAGAAAGATAATCTAGACATTTATGAGCTTTTATGTTTACACTTCAGTTCACTTCTTTTAAACCTTGATGAGACTGATTTCATACATGGCTTCCTGAGAGATGAGATGCTGAACTTGTGGTTCAGGTATATTCTTGATTCAGATCAGGGATGATGACTACCTTTGTCATTAGAAAATTATTTAGGATGCTTGCATTGATTTATGCTGCCTGATTCTAAAGAGAATTTGAGACAGGAAAATTACAGGTTGTGTTCACCGTCTCCCCAGGACAAGCCTAGTTAGTAATCACTCTGTTTTGCCCTCGGCATGAAATGGTAATGTAAAGACTCATGATTCTTGGGGGAAAAAAAGGAAGCAATTAGGATCTTGTCTCTAACCTAGTTTTTTCTTGATCATTACTTTGTCCAGAAAAATACTTGAAGAAAGGTTTTGCATGAGACACCTTCAAGGATTGGCAAACTACAGCCCTCAAGAGCATGCCACCTGTTTTTATATGACCCAGAAGCTAAAATTTTTTTTTTTTTACATTTTTCAGTTGAAAAAAATCAGAATAATAATTTTATTTTGTGACATGCAAAGATGCTAAGTTAAAATTTCATATCCGTAATGAAGTTTTACTGTAACACAGCCCTGCTAATTCATTTACATATGGCTGCTTTTTGCTACACAGCAGGGCCGAGTAGTGCAACAGAGCATACATGGCCTGCGAGCCTGAAGTATTTGCAGTCTAGCCCTTTACAGAGGAAGTGTGCTGACCTCTATTCTGAAGCACTTCCTTTGTATTTGGTTGACCTTGAGGATCTCATGGTCTGGGGTAGAAATGCAGCTAACAGTTATTATTATTAAAATACTGTTCCATGAAAGTGTTCTTGTTTGTTTCTTGAGAAGTGTGTGTGTGTGTTCTCTTTCAGCAGAGGCTGGGAGCCTCTTAAAGGCAGGGACGTGCTTCCCTGTGTCTTCTGTAATGATTGTTCTTCACTGTGGTGTGGCGACCTCAGTAGCAGGAGCGTGTGTGCACTCTGGGCTACAGGCTCTGTTGCTATGTGGTTGTATAGGCTCCACGAGGGGAGGATTCTTGTCCCCAGCTGCCCAATAATGTACTTAAAAGGGCTCTGAAGATCCTCACGAAGTGTGTCGATAGTTGCTCCTCATCAGGTTGCCTGTGATTTCTTACTCTGGATTGTGTCACAGTCATGACTGTGCTGCACTGATTTAATGAGGATTCTCTCTCCCTTCCCCTTTCCATGTGGTGCTTGTATGTAGCGTGCCCACCATCTGGAGAGAGAGCCTAGCCTTTTCCATATATTATGTCATTTTCATTCGAAAAGAGCCCCAGTCTAACGGAATGTATTTCCATTTCTCCCTCAGCTGATAACAGAACGAAAAAGAAAGTGGCCCATCGAGAAAGAAAGCAAGATTTTTCTGCCTTTAAGCAGACAGACAGCGAGATGAAGGTTAAAATATCACCACAGCTTCTCCTGGCCATGCACCGTTTCCTAGCAACAGGCAAGTGCAGCTTATCACAGTTTGAAATCTCTGCCAACCCTGGAGCGAGTTTCTCACCCACCGCTGACTGGGGTGGGCTGGGGGTGGAGACTGGGAAATGGGGTGATAAGTAATGCCACTTTTGTGTTTTGTTTTTTGTTTTTTTGTTTTGTTTGTTTTGTTTTGTTTTTTTCTTTTTAAATTCTCTCCTCTCCTATGTTCAGTGTCGGCATGAACCCTCTGAGACATTTACCAGGGGTGGACCAGTAACTTAAAATTGGTCTGAAAGGTAAGGATGAATGTTAGTGCCACACTGCATGTGAACAGTAGGCCAGGTCATCCGCTTCAGCTAAGTCCAGGGGAGAGCCAGCTGGCGGAGCAGGCGGACAGTGCAAACCAGACACTACCTCGTTGTGTGTCGGACAGTTGAGTAGTTCTCTCTTCAGCTTGCCTCAGAAGAACAGTTGGACATCGGTGGTGACACAGGTGCTATGATTTGCAAAGAAGAACAATAAATTTTCAAAATAAAATCTTTACCCTTTATGGTTTTAATGAAATCAGAAATTCTAAGAACTCTGACATGGATTTCTTGATGGCCTCTTCAAATCAGATTGTTAACTTGGGCCCATTCCAGGAGGCAAGTGTTCACATTATTAAAACCACCAACCCAGCCAGCACTGACTGCTCCAGAGAGGTCAAGGTCGAACGGACTTGAGAGACCGACTGACCCTGCTCACATCCCCAGATGGCTCTCTAGGCGAAGGGTGAGCTCTGTTGGCCAGGGGAAGTGTGAGAAAATCAGAGTACCCAGTGGCCTGTAGAAGACGTCTGTGTCCAAGATGGGCAGCCAGTGCCTTTCAACTGAATGCAGTACACTTAAGATATTTTGAAAAGAATGCTAACGGCAGCCGTGTGATGGAATGTTATGTACTCTTTAAGATCATGTTTTCAGATACCTGGACATGCTCACCATATAATATTTATGACATGGGAAAATACTCATAATTTAATGTAAGGTGAGAAGAAACAGTATAAAACCGTGTGTACACAAGATTATCCTTGTGTTCTTGTGTGTACACACACACGTACACGGCACACATGCCTAGGTGAGGTATTAGAAAGAAATGCTCACCAATTGCTCAGAATGGTTACGAGTGGTTGGTTTATAGGTGATTTTATTTTCTTTATTTTTTTCTGTGTTTTCCAAAATTTCCACAATGTACTGTCTAATTTTGTTATTACAAAAAAGTCACAGAAGCTAGTGCCGAATTTATACCGCACATATAAAATTAAAAAAATTTTAAAACATAAACAATGTCTTTAACTTGCTTATTATTTTCTATTTCTGATAATATTGTTCATCATTTAAGAACCACAATTTAAAACTAAATGTTGTCCTACTCTGCCTCTGAGGCACCATAAAGTCCACTTTCAGGACGGCACCCTCAAGTCAGTAATTTTGGGTTTTGTTATTTTAATAAAATCAATATCTTTGTAAACTCAGATCAACATTACTTTTTTTTTTTTAACTAGCAAGTTGGAGTGCATGTTGATGTGTGCACGTGCCTTGCTTTTATTCTGAATCTCTACCTTCCTTTGTTCCCAGACTTTCTCAGGGTAGTTGAATGGGAGAATGAGATGTGGAGCACGGCCTCTGTGCACCTGGTACTAACCCACACCTAGATGCTTCCTGACCTTTGCTTCTTCCTTTGGCTGTTGTTGGACAGTCAGTCTTTTGTGGCCTGTTGCAGGGCGTCCTGGCAGTCATGGAGCCTGCTTCTGGTTGCTTTTCCTTTGTGTCAGTCAGAAAATGAGGGTATTTTTGTGAGAACTGAAACCAATGACAGGTTGAAAATGAAAAGTTTTAAAGCAACAAACGTGAGAATTCAGCATTTTCTAATTTCTCCCAGGTAATCTGCCCCCAGCGGATCACCAAACGGAAGGAAGTCTCGTTAATCCATACTGTTACCGCTTCAATTCCAAGTATTCTTTTCTCTAAACACCTTAATCACTAGTATCATTTTTTTCCATCCATTTGAAGTGTAATATCAAGTTGTGTTTATATCTATAGAAGTAGAAGCATTTAGCCCATCCCAGATGTCAGAGAAGATCCTTCTAAGGCTGCTAAAGCACCCCAATGTCATCCAGGAGCTGAAGTATGATGAGAAGAACAAGAAAGCCCCAGAATACTACCTCTACCAGCGAAACAAACCCGTAGACTACTTCGTTCTCATTTTGCAGGTCAGAAGAATTAATCAACAGTTGTTTGATCTTATTGAGTACCCACCCTTCCAGTTTGGAGGAGACTTGGTATAGGTGAATGGGTGTCAAGGATATAACATACTTAATAACTTCTGGGGTGGCCTTACAGTGGGAGAATTTCATCTCCCTGTTTTCGTATCTGCAAACAATTTCAATATAAAGCAATGTTATTAATTTAATTTCCAATACAGACGGGCACTTAGTGATTGCTGAGGCATTGAGGCATTCATTTGAAGAAGGGTGAATTTAGGTGTTTGTATTTTTTTTTTTTTTGAAGAGTTTGGGGAATTACCTGTGCATGTCTAAATCTTGGCTGGGCATTTGAAGTTTAAGTGTTGTGAGTTCCTTGAGTCTTCTTTTTATCATCTTTTATTTCTTCCGCCCTTCGTTACGACTTGGTCTTGCACAACTTCCTAGAGATGCCTTATGATCGCTTCCCTTAACGCCATGAAAATAATCCATTTATTATTGTTTTTATTCCTGATTACTGCCAGCTTCTGTTTTAATGAGAACTGATGGGATAATCACAGCCTCTCATGGCAATGGTAACTTACCTCCTTCTCACTGTAACATAATCCACTATATAAGGTGAGGAGGTCCATCCATTTGAACCCTCCTAAGGGCCCTAGAGGGGCTTTTGTGCTTGGATTGACAGGAGGCCCTTATTATCTCACAGTTTCACTTGGTAGAGCGCAGTTCTTGGCCTGGAGACCAAGATGAATAGTACAATGAATAGCATGCTAGTTTTATTGATTTCTTGTGTCTCTTTATTGAAGAATTACTTTTACAGGAATTCTGAGTGTATTTCAATATAAGAATACTAGCCCCTTAAGCATTCTCCTGTTTCTTGGTTACTTCCTAGGTAAGAATTGAAGGGATCTTTATAAGAGTATAATTAGCACTTGGTAGACCCATCTACAATTTACGTTGAGTCCAGCAAGTCCCAATTATCTAAATGAATCAAGATGTTTCTTTTTATCTGAAAATAACTCTTATCAGATGTCTAGATGTTAGAAACTCTGGGAAGTGTTGTGTTCATGCCCCGTGTTTGGACTGTATAGTGAATTCTGGAAGCAGAAGTGAGGAACTGTAGAAAAGTCTATGGATTAACCAGGTATATGCTGCTTTCATATAGTGTTTCTTGGAAACTTCTGTTTGCAGGTTTTCTAAGTCAGTACCCTGATTATTCTACTAACCTTAGTCTCATTCAATCCTGAATTGTTTTTCTTTTTCTCAGGGGATAGACAAGCTTGAAACTCTGAGGGGGTTGGGAATTTATTTGATTTACTACAGTGAAGGAGTAAGGCATTCATGTTTCTCATAAAATCTAGATGTGAATATTCCTTAAACCTAGAGAAACTGAATGACATTTAAGACAGTTTATTTAGAACTTTGAGGATTGACATTGTGAATTTCAGTAATATTAGAAACTCTGTGGCTTTCAATCGTCGATTTTGATATAGTTAGCGTTTATGAATTCTGATTCAGTAATGCTCTATTGGTATGTAAAAAAGCCATTTCCTGGCTGGTGGATCTAAAAATAGATTTTATGGAAGAGGGACTTCATAATTCTTGTCCCTTTATAAGTAAATCTTTAAAGATATTTTTGATAAGGTTTTTATGTCCATGTACCTATATTTGAATACCTATGTCATGTTAAATATTTTTACACATGTGACAAGTTCTTGGAACTGACGATGTCATGGGAGTTTTTTTTAATTTTTATTTTATTTATTTATTTTTGGCTGTGTTGGGTCTCAGTTACTGCGTGCGGGCTTTCTCTAGTTGCAGCGAGCGGGGACTACTCTTCGATGTGGTGTGCGAGCTTCTCCTTGCGGGGGCTTCTCTTGTTGCGGAGCATGGGCTCTAGGCGCGCGGGCTCGGTGGTTGTGGCTCACGGGCTCTAGAGCGCAGGCTCAGTAGTTGTGGCACACGGGCTTAGTTGCTCCGCGGCATGTGGGGTCTTCCCGGACCAGGGCTCGAACCCGTGTCCCCTGCATTGGCAGGCGGATTCTTAACCACTGCGCCACCAGGGAAACCCCATCGTGGGAGTTTCATAAAGATTTCAAGGGTTTATGGAGGTATTCAAACTGTAGAGTTTGGTGAAAATCATGTTCTTGAAGGCCAGGCAGTTACCTGAGGTACCCAGAGTATGACAAAATGAAATATCACAATACCCTGTCAGTCTAGCATAGCCATCACCATTTACAGAGTATATTCCACCCTAAAATATCACTAATCCATCACTGGAAATTCATTCCAGGTTATTGAGCATGTTCTACTGCATTTCAAGAGCATTAAACCAGAGGAAAGCAGCTGTAGCTGCCTTCCCTTCCTGGCCCCAGTGCCAGCGAACTGCCGTCTTCAGACACTAGAAAAAACTCTTTTATTAAGTAATTGATGTTTGGAATACAATTATAACTAGAAACAATCACTTTGAGTTTAAACCCTAGATGAAATAAAGTCTAATTTATTCGAAGCAAACCATTTAAGTAAGCTTACTTAAAAGAATATCCTATAGGTTATGGGACACATACTGCATATGAATAAAAAGGCACTTTCAAGTTTTATCTGAGAAAGTAGATTTTTAAACTAAAATGTATTGTGATAAAAGCACAATAAATAGTGAAAGAAAACTTTATTGGCTCTACATGTCTTTAATAACTTAACAGAATACACATATAAAAGTAGGAATGGGTAGGAACATAATCTTGGTGGGAAATTTTTTCCACCATCATAAAAGAGCAAGAAAAAAATGTTAGAGTTTTAAATTGTGTAAATAAAATTAACCAAGTTGAAGAAAATTAAATATAAAGCCAGGGGAATACACTTTAAAAAAAAAGTTTTATGTTACTTCTTCATAAAAATTGGTCATTTGTGCTGTCACATGTAAATTCTAATAAATTCAGAAAGATAGAAATTTCATAAAACTACCTGCATAGATCATAATGAAATAAAATTAGACATAAAAATGCATAAGCGAAAAGTACTAAGCTATTTTAAAACTAATCAATTCTCTTACAAAGGTTTATACATAAGGTATAGAATAAAAGACTATTAAATAATATAAATACCGTATCCACAGTATGTCAAAGTTTAAAATTTTATTCCTCTAGGTATTTACATAAGAAAAAAAATCTCTGATTTTCTATAATAGAAAAAGAGCAAAGCAACAAACTAAAAAGAACAAATTAAATAATAGTGTCATGAAAATAACTTTTAAAATGAAAAAGTTTTACATCCCATAAATAAAATAAAGATTGGTTCTTCTAAAAGATTAAAAAAATCATTATTCTATTTGCATAATTAATGTGATAAGAGAAAAAAGAAAACTAGAAGTTCTCCCTTCCCCCCCAAAAAGCAGCTAGAATCAAAGGAATTGCTTGGAAAAAAAAAAAAAATTGAGACTCTAAAGAACTCGATTTCTGTATTGTACAAATAGAACAAGATGATTTGATAGTTAAATGCATTCTTTATGACAGTATGGCCTAATCTGAAGTCTGATAATGTTCTGGACCAGTCTCACTTGTCCACATTGATGGAGAATTCCTAAATAAAAAGGTAGCAGTTAGAGACCAATAACGGACCGAAAGAGCTATTCACTGTGACTGTGACTGAATTAGGATTATTTTAGGTATTCAGGGCTAGTTTCATAGAAGGACAACAAAACGAAAATATGCCGTGTTAATTAGGGAAGCAGTGAAGGAAAAAATCCCTATGCTTAAATCAATAGATATCAGGACAAAATTAAGCATCCATTCTTGATTTCTAAAACAAACCAAAAACAAAAAATCTTTGTAAAAATCCATGATGAACAGTGAATAAAAAAGAAAAAAATGCTGTAAACCAATCACATGCTTAAACTGGCAGCTTCCTTTTGGGAATAAATATATAAAACCCCTCATATACATGCATTTCAAGAAATCATTTTTTATAAAGCTTTTTATGCAAATAGATTTATAGCAAATAAATCTATCAATTATAATTAAAGTAGTAGAAATAGTCCATATGTCTAAGCTAATCAAATTTCAGTGTGGATAATATGAGAGATCATTATGTGGTCATAAAAGAAGTAGAAAGCATGTACAAAAATATGTCAAAAAAGATAGTGTGCCTGTAATTATAACTATTATAAACCATTTTTCTAATATATATAGTTGATATTTTACAGTGAAGTATTTGTTGGTCCTTTGGGGAGTAAAATGTCTAAGCAGATAAAAAAAATCATTGTTCTTACACAACATGTAATTAGGTTATGATTTTAGTAAATATAACGAATAATAGGAAAACAAGAGGAATAGCTTTTTCCTTTGCCAATTATGTAATCAATGGAAAGGGATGCTTTTTTTTCTGGGGTTAATTTTTGTTGATTTCATGCCCCAGACGTTTTGTTGTTCAATTGCCCCATCCACTCTTTTCCTTTAGGGCTTCTGACATAGATTCGAAAGGGTTTTTCCCTACGGAGTGAAATCTGTTCTTTTGTGGAGGTGGCAGGTAGCATCTTAGAACTAAACAGCCTTTGACAATATTTAATATCATTTCACTTGTTATTGGGAGAGAATTGAAGCCTTCAATACCAAACCTTCTCAAGGAGTTTTGAGTTGCAGGGTCTCCGTGTCCCAGTGAATAATGTTTCCTCACTCTGGAGTTGTGTACAGATAACACAGCCATGTTACAGAAAAAAATTATTTAGATACCTAGTGTTGACTCTATTTTTTAAAAATTAAATACGTATAAATATAAAACTAGCATGAGCTCCTTTTGAACCCTTTGAGCTGAGAACTCTTACATAGAACAATAAAGAAAACAAGTTTGTAATTAGTATTTTAAATGTGTAAATGACACTGTTTGGCTGATAGGAAAGTGCCACTGGTCGCAGGACGGTAGCAGGGAGCTCTGGCGCTGGCTCTTGCATTCAGCACACTTAGGTCCCTGTGTGCCTGGCAAGGATGGCACCCTCCAGCCCTGTGCTCAGTTTGAGCTACTCTGTACGTTTGTGCAGTATGTTGTATTGTTATTTGGCCTCCACTGGGTGTGACCGGATTATTTGTATGTTTAGTCCTCCCCTGTTCCTTTCTCTTTGGCTCAGTGCTTCTCACACTTCAGTGTGCTTGGGAATCCCTTGGGGATTCAGTACGTCTAGGGTGGAGTCTGAAATGCTTCATTTCTAACAAGCTCCCAGTTGGTTGAGTAGCAAGCCTTAGCCACGATGATTCACGTAGTAAGAACAACTTAGCAGATTTGAGCACGGAGGCAGATGCTGCCACTGACATCTGGTGGCAGCACCAGATAGCCTGAAATATATGTCAATTAATTTTTGACCGTCAAAAAAAATTTTTTTTTAATTTAAGTGTTTATGAAGCAAACTTGCTGAGTGCTAGGACTACATCTGTGGACTGCAGATTGAAAAATGTTGCTAGAGGATGTCTGGGTGGTGCATCCCCTCTTACTGGGCAGTGCTGGTGAACACAACCTAGCACGTGTGCCCCTGGCATTTCATTACCTCCTTTTAGGTGTCAAACCCTATTTTGTGATGGTGATTTAAAAAACAAACAAAATTTAAAAAGAACTCAATTCCAGAGCGAGCAGGAGACCAAGTAGATGCTCAGTGTGTGGGATCTGAGGGTCTTCAGCCTTGAGTCCATGGCTTCCACTGAGCGCTTGATCTAGTTTGTGCCAACGAGGATAGCTTAGGCTTCTGCCTTGAGGCCAGGTACAGCACGTGACTGCTGGGTACTTTGTGGATGCTTAGAAACTTTGAAAAGAGTTGTCTAATACCTTTTTCCAAAGGAAGGTAGGATTCTGTAGTAGTAACTTCACTCGGGGAGCCAGCTTTGCAGTGAGGCTGTCTTCCAGTTTTGTCAGTTTACCAACATGAAGCCCTAGCTTCCTTTGGGAGCCTGTCCTGTCTCGATTTTTTTTTTTTTTTGTGATATACTAGACTAAAGCAAATTCGTGAATGTTTCAAAAGTAAAATTGATACGGAGCTCCTTCCCTATATGGAAGAAATTTATTTTCTGAGAAGACACCTGATTGAACTAGGGCCAGGCAAGCCGTTTCCTTATGGGGTAGCCCTGCTTTGTGTACTGGTAGGTTTACTCGAAAACGGTCACTTCTTTGAGACACTGACACACATAGATGAGTAAAAAAAAATGTGTTCACTGGATGTTTCTAAAACTTGCCTACCAGGAAAGCTTCAGTCCTCTAGAGAAGGAGATAGGGCTGGGCAGTTTTTTAAACTTTTGGAATTGTAGAATCACAGGATGTTAGAACTGAGAGAACCACAGGTCTCCTCTCCTTTACTGCAGTTTTATAACTGCAGCAAAATTAGTCTAGTGCAGTGGTTCCTAAATGCTGATACTTGGCAAAGTTTTCACCAGTTTGAGGCAAAATGAGAAAAATAAAAACAGTTGCAGTGAGTTCTTCATAAAGCTGTGTGTATTCAGCTTAAAGACCTGTTATTCTGAAATTATATATTTTCTATATTTTGGGGGTTAAAATGTCTGGGCTTTTGTGGAATGATGGTCGCAGTAGATAGCTGTGTTTTAAAAATATCTTTATTTTATGAAATAAAAATGCGGCAACCCTCTCTCTGTTTCTGAAAGGAAGATGGATTTTCCTAGTTCTTGGAATCCAAGCAGCTGGGAACCACTGACCTAGTACGCCTGCCTGTAATCTGATGGATCTAGACTCCAGAAGAAAGATAGCGGATCCTCTCCACCACCTGCCGGCCTGTCTTGGGGGGCAGGGAGAGATCAGCTGAGGGGCTGCAGATCTTCGAGCAGCTGTCCTAATTTAATTTGCAGACTCACAGCTGCTGGGGGAGTCTCTTGAGAGGCCAGGGTGCACAGAGGTTCCAGAGCTGGCACCCATTCGCAGGGACACGGAACACAGAAGGCCCTGTAGCTTGTTTAAAAAAAAAAAAAAAAAAAATTAAAGGATCCAGATCAACAGGAGATCCATAGAAACGATATGAGGCTCTACGGCATTTGATCCTTCCTCCTGATTTTCTGCATAGAAATGCAGGTTACATGATGGTCCTACAGACACTTTCGAGCTTACAGTCACTGAGGCAGACATTTTCAGTTAGCGTATACGTACATCTTAGCTCTCTGATACAAAATCAGGGATTAGTCCATGAAGAAATGGATAAGTAACTGAAGGTATACACAGCGGGCACCTCCATTTCTGCTGCTCATCGTCTCTGAATATTGTGTCCCTGCCCCCCTCTCTTAGGGACCCTACATCCCATTCTTTCCCACCAGCTTTTGGCTTTTGCCCCCGAATTCCCACCTTCTCTCTCTCCACTAACTTTCCGCCCTTTCTGCCCCAATTTGCCTAATCCTAAACAGGCCTCATTTGACCCCAAGGCTGCTGCCAGCTCCCCTGCGGCCCTGCTGCCTGTGCTTTGTCCCTCTTGCCCTCCCTTCCCTTCCACAGTCTGATTTCTTCAGGAAAAGACTCCCTGAGGCCACAATGGCTCCCTCCTCAGTGACCCTCTGACCATCCTTTTACTCTGAGGTTCTTCCCTCTCCCAGCTTCTGTGGTGACAACGGTTGTCTGGTTCTACTCATATCCGTTTTCCCTTTGGTCCCATATTTGTTTCTTTTTCTCCTCCTACTCCCAGTCAAGGGCTGTAATTCCTCATTTTCTCTTCTCCTCTCTCAGACCCCTGTCTCCAGTTCTGACCTTTTCCCTGACCTTCGTCCTTCCATTTCAGCCTTTTTGATGAACTCTTCAAAAGGCCTTGTTTTCTTAGAGGGAATTCGTCCCCTCTTCCCGGCCCCCATCACTGATGCATCCCCTTCCCAACATTTCCATTTCCACTCATGGGGTCCCCGTTCTTCAAGTCGCTCAGAGCAAACTTCTCTTGTGATTATTGACGGCCCCCTCTCTCTCCTTGCGCTTCTTTCTCCCTTACGGTTTCACCAAATTATGTTGATTCCTTATCCGTAGCTCCTCTCATAGTGATCTTGCTCCGGTCCTGTGGTTACTGCTCTCGTGTACGTCTAGACTTGATCCTCCTGAAACCGTATTCCTCTGCTCAAGAACCTGACCTCATTAGCCCATCCTTCAAGGGGCTCCGCAGTCTGACCTGCTCACCAAACTGTTTTTCCAAACCCATCTCCCCTTCTTTCCTGGCAAACCCACTGAGCCTGAAAGTCTGCTGTCACCCACCTCTGACCTTTTCAACACTGTTCCCTTCCCTTGACTCAAATCCTACTCCTCAGATTTTCCTTCCTGTATAAAATTTATCTTTATACAAGAACAGGAAGAATTTTTGTTTACTGCCTTGCATCGTTGAGTTTCATGTGCTCTCCCCTTTTCTGGACTGTGTGCTCTCCCCTTTTCTGCATTGTATGCTCTTGGAGGAGCAAGGGCTGTCTTCTCACAAGGCTGCACAGCCTCTCCGGAGGACCCTACATGGTCAGGGTTTTTAGTGCTTGTTGGTTTGCAGGTTGATTTGATATTATAGCAAGAGAATTGTTTGGAGAGTGATAAAACTAATATTTTCCATTGAATGAAGAAAAACCCAAAAGAGAGACAACAGATCGTTTTCTGAAGAAGGGTTTTGAGAAAGGGCTTCCATAACTGGGAATTTGGTATAGAATAATAGGGAGTGATCACAATGATGGAGTTTGCGTTCATAGGTGGCACAGTGTAGCCACCTGGTGAAGAGTTTGTTCTTCGGTTACTTCATCTTTCTGAGCCCTGCTCTCCTGATTTATAAGAGGGTGGTAATTGTGTCTGCTTCCTAGACTTGTGAGCGTTAAAATGGATTCATAAGCACCGTGAATTGTCAGCACAGTTTCTCTTCAATAAATGGTAGCTTAATTTTTGTTTACCCATAGTAAAGGATGCACCATAAACGTACCCTCCTACTAGAGAGGCAATAATTATAGGTAAGGTGAGCCAGTGCTGTTCTGATCCTTGACTTGGAAATCTAGAATGCAACTTGCTTATGAGGGTTTTCCAATAGCCCAGAAAAGGATTATGGTGAACCGTAAGGCTAGAGGGATGAATAAGGCACAGTGTGTCCCAGAGGATATGATGGGAGGGAAGAAGTTGTAGTCAAGTTAGAGGAAGGAAAGAAAAGGGAGAACCTTAGAAGAGGTTTTGTCCTGATGGAACGAGATGACTTAAGGTGCTTTGCTGAGAAGTACCATGGTGTCCCAGTGCCTCTGGAGTGTCTGGATGACCAGGGATTGGCCTGCGACGTGTCTGCTCATTGGTCAGGACCCATGCTAGGGAGATAAGAGGGAGTTCCGCCGCTGGGAGCCGGTTTAGTCCTCCCTGTTTCATGGTGACAAACCATGTTGGCCCTTGACCCTGACTCTGCTCTGACTCAGGCTCCCGTGGAACTGCTTGGATGACCGTCACTGAGCACCTTCTCAGCGTTTGTCCCATGGGTGGAAAAAGAGCCCCATCTTTCACTTACTGGGAGGGCTCTCAACCCACGGACTGGGATGCTGGGAAATATTGAGTGGACTTGTGGAAATTAAACATCACACTACTTTCACCTCTGCATCTCCAGCTAAATCCAATTTTTCATATTTAAGATGAATTAACCCTCTCCTCCATCTAAGTGGGAAAGATTATCTGAGGCTTTTTTTTTTTACTTCCTTGGGATTGTTGGGAAAGGAGTTTAGACAAAAATCTGAGGGAGGACTAAATCTTGCATAGAGTTTGCAAAGAAATTCATGTAATTGGACTGAACGTGCTCCCTTTTTTCTTTTCACAGGGGAAAGTGGAAGTAGAAGCTGGGAAAGAAGGTATGAAGTTTGAAGCCAGTGCTTTTTCATACTATGGTGTAATGGCCCTTACAGCCTCCCCAGGTGAGTTTCCTTCTCAGCCTCAGGGCAAGGCTAGGTTTTAGGAAGTAATGCCCTTGTATTGTCATCTTTCTGTACCCGCCGGCTAACCCTATTTATTTACTTTTGAACTTTTTATTGAAGTGTATCATGTATACAAAAAATCCTGCTCACATCATACATATATACCTCCATGAATTTTCACAAACTGAACTCTCTTGTGTAAACCAGCTCCCAGATCAAGAGACAGCACATCACCAACCCCCAGAGAACCCTCCCCCCCCCCCCCCCTTTAGTCCCTATCCCCCCCCAGGAACCACTGTCTTGACTTGTAAGCATTGACTAGTTTTGCCTCTTTTTGAACTTCAGGTAAATGGAATTATACAGGACATATTGCATTGAGTCTGGCGGCTTTTACCCAGTGTTGTCCTGGTCGCACTCATCTGTCCTGCTGTGTGAGCTTGTACTGTTTCTTCTCATTGCTGTACAGTGTTCCATGGTATGAATATACAGCAATGCATTTATTCTTTTCACTGCAGATGGACACTGGGGTAGTTTCCTGTTTGGGGGCTACTCCGAATTGTGTGTCTGTGACACTGTCCGCGTCCTTTGGTGAAGACATTTCTGTTGGGTGTACTTGTAGGAGCGGAATGGCGGGGTCGGCGTTAATAGCTGCAGCCCCGCAGTTTCCCAGGGTGGCTGAGGCAGTCACACTCCTGCCCGTGCTGACCGGGGTTCCAGTGGCTCCATATCCATCACTTGATAACTGTTGACTCTTTTAGATGTTAACGATTCTGGACTTTTTTTGTTTTTTTTTGGACTTCTTTTAATTTGCATTTTTCTGAGGGTAGTTGAGGTTTTAATATATATCCATTGCCTATAGCCGGCTCTTCTCAACTAGAGAGCTGGCCAGTTAAGTCAGCCAACTAAGGGTGGGTGTGCCACGGGGTATCGACCTAGTGCTCTGAGCACAAGATGCCAGAAAGCGGTGTCTGTTCTAGTAGGAACATGGACGCGGATACTTGGCTCACCTCTGGGATGGGACTTGAATGGTTCTTCTTTGCACCACTTGCTTTGCTACCTTATCCCCGCTGGAACAGGGCAGGCAGGTAAACAGGGGCTGCAGTACCACCTTGTGGCCAAAATACCAAATGACATGCTGTGCTAGGAAATAACCTTTTATAAACCTCAAACTTTAAAATAGCCGATCCTAAAAGAATGCTGTCACTTCTGAAAACCAGTCTCAAAAAGGGGAGGGGCCACCTGCAGACAAGTCTGTGTTGTGACGTTGGTCCTCATCTACTGCTCCACACAATGTCTCAGGTGCCCAGAGATGTTACAGTTAGAAAGCCAGGGAAATGTCAAGAATTCTCTGACATTTCTAAACCTCCCCTGTCCCCGATGCATCTGCTCACTATCCTGGTGCAGGTTTTTGAGTCACATGGGCCAGTGTCCCCATTGTCTAGCACCCAGTGTGAACAAAAGCCTGTCTAACCCCACTTAATTAGTAGGTGTCTGCTGTCAACTTCAAGGTGATCTTCTGTTTTCACTACTACTGAGAGGACGGGGAGATTCTTAACTAGGCCAAGAAGACCTCGGAGACAGCCTGAGTTCCACTTATGGGTTATCTGACTGAGAAAGGCCCTTGGCTTCCTCGTTATGAAAAGGGTATAAGGTTACCTCCTGTGGCTGTTAGAAGAATAGAATGTGATGATACTCACATGAGTACTTTGTCACCTTTAAAGCACAAGAGGAAATGTTTGTATAACACAAGTAGGTGTTGAGATTGTGACTATTGCTTGGCAACCACCCTCCAATTTGCCCCAGGTTGGCAGAATCAGGTATGTAAGGTGGCTTTGAAAGGACAGCTAGAGGAGTAACTTGTACATTTTTATGCATCACTAGTTCTTGAATCCTAAATATTAGCCCAGTTCATGTTAAACCATGGATTTATATAGGGTAAATCACATTCAGGAAAGGAATTGAAGAGCAGGCCTTCCATATAGGAAGTGTGTGGGGCTGCAATTTCCTACCTAATGTGGTAGGAAATGCTCAGAAGGGAGAGAATTTCATTAACGGCATCTTATTTACTTCAAAGCCCAGTGTTTTACTTGACTTTACATTGAGGATTCAGGATTTTGTATATTCATTGAGATGCAGTAGTAAGTACAATAATCCCAAGGTAATGTTTCTATTTATTAATGTTGATTTGCCTAGAAAGACCCTACAGTAGTCAGTTATCAAGACCCGCCCAGTTATTTGTCAATTATACCTCAAGTTAAAAAAAAAAAAAAAAGCAAAAAACAAAAACCTGCCCAGAAAATATGACCTCTGCCTGGTAGGGCATATTGATTGACTTTGGTCTGCCATTCCCAAGAAATCTGTTTATGATATTCTTTATTTACCTTCCTCTAATACTTTGAATTGCTATGGAATACTGTGAAATTTCAAAGCATCTGGTCAAAGTTACAATCAGACCAATTAAGAATGTAAATGAATTGAATAATTTTTTGCCACAGATAGGGACGCTGTAGGCTGTGCTGTGAACAGGTATCGAGGTGCTGGCACAGGCAGCTCGGGTCATGCTCTCGGGGCAGTTGATGAATCAAGCTCCCCTTTCGCGTGGCTAGCTGTGACTGAGGTCCTTGAGAGCACGTTTTGAGCTATAAACTGCAATGGGGTATTACTGGCTTAAGAGATTCCTAGGTTAGTAAAGAAGCATGTGAGTAGAATTTCTCCCGATTTCAGCCTCCCTGTGTTCCTCTTCCTGGAAAGCAGTGTGTGTTCAGTTGATTTATATAATATCACATAGGCTTCTGCATTTCCGGAACTGAACGCTCCTATGGGTAGAACAGGTATCCACTCCTGTCCCCTGATTACAGAGAGCTCCTTTTTTGCCTTTTGATATGGTCTCACCCTGTTTTTCTCCATTTTTCAGTTCCTTTGTCCCTGTCTCGTACCTTTGTTGTCAGCAGAACAGAGTTGTTAGCAGCAGGTTCTCCAGGTAATTCTGCATGTTTCCTTTTCATAATTCTGATTGCCTCCGTTGACCCCACCAAAGCCCAGCTGGCCGGGTCTGCCCCCTTTATTTGGTCAAGGCCATTTTCAGTTCTTCTTTGAGCTCTAAAACTCCATGGTTCTGTGACTAATAGTGAGCTATCCAGGACAGCATAAGCCCACAACAGATGCGCAAAGGGTTTGGGAGATGGGAGGGGAATCTTGAAACTGGGAAGGGGAGAGTGGGTCTGACATGAGTTCCCTGCGTGACCCATCCACACTGCTGACCTTGGATTTTTGAGGCTGCCCTTTGGTCTTTTGGTGACCTCAGCAAAGTCACGGTGCATGGAATTTGCAGAGGCCCCAAACCTGAGGATTCTTCTGCAGAACACATTCAGCCAAAAGGCTGAAGGACTATGAACTTTTCTTGGTGAGGCCCCCAAATCTCTGTTTCTTTGGTCCTTTTTGTGGCATCCATGTGAACGAGGCGCATGTATTTCCACCCTTCCTCGGGCAGGTGGCCCCGCTTCTCCCGTCTCGCTGTCTTTGTTCTGAAGTTAGTACTGTGCACATTCCTAACGAGCTGCTGACTATTGCCCCGCGGGAGAGTATGCTCATGCCTGGCTAATATGTCCAGCTGCTAAAAGAGAAAGGCAGAGGTTTAATCTCTCTTTAATTAAAATTGCTGGGCTTTCCTATTTGGTAGTACAACTTTTCTGTATTTATTTTGTTCCATACAGCTTATATTTTAAAATCTGACTGATGAGATTTGCATTTCATAATCCAGCTTCTGCAGAACTCTTAAAATGTGGATGTTCGGCAAAGGAGGCAATACTTGTCTTAGAAAGAAGCTAATATTCCCTCAGGTCTTTGCTCTTTAAAAAAATTGTGGGTGTTTGGGCATAAGATATTACTCATGGGGCTATTTGAATCAAATCCGCTGACAGAATATACCCGTATACACATATATGTATACATAAATATGTACTTAAGTGTATGTTTGTATTGTTTCCTCCCCATTTTATTTGCTGGCATCTGCTACCAATTTAAAATGTCACAGATGCTGAAGTAAAGCGACTTTTGGCCGAAGCTCAGGGAAATGTCATTTGTGTCTTACTTTTTCCGTAGAACTTAGAGATTTCTTAGTTCTGCCCATTCCATCTGATCTAGTAATGAGAAAATCCACTTTGCGGGTCCAGGCCTTCGAGGTGCTGGCATTACAGTAATATGATACCTGATGAATGGGGGTTGAGCTACACCACTGATTTCCAGCCAGTTCCACACGGTGCCTGGTGGCTCTCAGGGAGGAGGCTGGGAATGTTTCTTTATTGTGTCTTTCTAGCTTACTAGCAAATGAAAGCATCCCTAGGTAGGATGAATGAAATAAGCCAAGACCAAAAAACAAAGAAAACAATTCTGAAAAGGCATAAGAGGAATTAAAATGGAAAGTCTTTTTCATAATTATTGTCATAAAACCTTGGCACACAAATTTGGCAACAAAACATGACCTGCACTGGGAGGTGGCCACTTAAAGTCTTTGTCCTCCTTGGTATGAAGACCTGCACATCTCCCCACACGCCGATGAAAGGTGACTGTGCTGCTTCCTGTCGAGTTGCAGAAGAGGTCCTGGAAAACGGTCTGCTGCTCCAGACTGTGGCTGTGATGCCAGGCAGCGGGTTCCTGGCAAAGGAGAGGGTTCATCGCTCAGAAAACAGAGGGCAGTGGGTTGAGAGGAAGCTGACTGGGAGTCTAGATACTTTGGGAGACCAGAGAAATTGCCCTGTAATCCTCCTCAGGAGAAAATAACAGGAGATTGAGAAGCACTGCCTAAGGCCTCAGACGGCGATCTGGCCACGCACAGGGTCTGATCAGTAAGAAAATTGCCCTTTAAACGTTTTGTTTTTATAACCTTAAATCGTAACCCACCGAAGGGAACACCATTTCAGAAGTATCTGTAGATTTGGGGCTAAAGCCCAGGGATACAGTGGGATCCCTTGTTTCACAGACTGTTCCATCCATCAGCCTGTGGGAAGTTATCACAAGTACAGAGTAGCTTGATCCTGAGGGTAGGCGCGTGGTGGAGAGGTCTGGGATGACACTTATGGGAAAGAATATAATAATGTTAACAAGCCTCCTTTATCAGGCACTTACTGGGTGTCAGACGCCGTGCTAGGCACTTCATATACCTTATCTCATTTTGAATCTCCATAAGACCTTACGAGGTGGGTGCTATTACTGTTCGCCTTTTACAGATAGGGACTCTGAGGCTTAGCAAAGTTGGGTCATCTGATCAAAGTTGGGTCATCTAAATAGAAAACATCTGATAAATTAATTTGCCTTGTTCTCGTAGATAAGTGAAAGCAACAAGAGGAACTGCTGTTGAGTATAATTTTGACTAACAATGGAAAATTGGTTCATGACATGAAAATTGTAGGGAAAGTGGTTACATGAAAATTTTAGGAGAAAGGGGACTCGCCATATGAAGTTCCTTGAGTACTTGCCATGTTTTGTTCTGCATGTTATGTTTTAAGAGGGACTTCGCTGGGACTTCCTTGGAGGTCCAGTGGTTAAGACACTGCACTCCCAATGCAAGAGGCACGGGTTTGATCCCTGGTTGGGGAACTAAGATCCCGCATGCCGCACGGCGTGGCCTAAAAAAAAAAAGAAAAGAGGGACGCTTGCTGAATGGACTCTCAGACAATGGTCAGGATGGGGTAAGTGGGGGGGATAAAACATGTGAGGTGAACAGGTGAATCATTTCGCCCGGAGAGGAAGAGACTTAGCTATCTTCAGACTTTTAAGGGCTACTCCAAGTAGCAGAGGAATGGAAAGCACTCGGGAGAGTCCACAGAGTGGAGGAGAGTGAAGTTGGGGAAGCAGATTTTATGGGTGTGATGACAGACTTTCCGATAGCTGAAGGGTGGGGCCAGCTGACAGCCAGTCAGGGATACATTGCAAAGAGGAGCCAACCATCAGGTGGGAGAATTGGTCCCCTTCAATCCCGTGACGTTGTGCAATTCAGCGTGGGCACCCAGTTGATATTTGTGCGATAGGTTTGACTAGAGAAGCAAAAATGGAAGAAGCCCTGGTGAGGGTGTGGGTTTTATTTTTAATGAAATTTATTAGAAGCTATGGTCAACATGCCTCTAAAAGCAGCAACACTTAGACTCACCTGGATTTCCTTTCACTTTGTTTTAATGAAAGAGTACTGTCGATCTCATTGAAGACTCCCCCAGCACCTAAGGTGACTAATCAAACCGTCTCAGGGTTTGGTGTCTTCCAGGGTTCTTAACAATCCTGAGATGTCCTCGGGCTGCCTGACAGGGATTTTACTGGGGTCAGAGGCAAAGTTAACAGGTTTGGCTGCCAGGTATGGTATAAGCAGACAGAAGCGTTTTGATCCCTTTAAAAACATGTACTCATTTATGAACGTTCAAGAGTCCTTTGTTTTTGCTTCTGGCAAAATAATGCAGCGCTGCCTTCCTACAGCCCATGTTTCGTATCAAGTAGCTTCTGTGTCTCGGACCTCGCCCCCCCGGCCTGTGCTCCTGACACAGTGTGCAGCCACGGGGTCTTTGCTCTTGGAAACTCGGAGGATTGGGTCTGTTGGCGTGGACGAGGGCCGGGAACGTGCTGCAGGAGACCGCCGAGGCGTCTGGCATAAGTTGATTGAGCTTGTCTATTCATTATTCTTGGGAAAATAAAGAGCTTTGAGTTGCATCTACCTCACTTAAAAGGCAGTTTGGGTTTCTTCTCCTTTTCCAGGTGAAAACAAGTCACCTCCTCGCCCATGCGGCTTGAATCACTCGGACTCTCTCAGTCGCAGTGACCGGATCGATGCGATAACGCCGACGTTGGGGAGCAGCAACAATCAGCTCAGCTCTTCATTCCTCCAAGTCTACATCCCGGACTACTCGGTGCGAGCCCTCTCCGATCTCCAGTTTGTTAAGGTAAGAGGAGACAACGGCTTGGCAGGGCCCGGCAGGTGGCGGTCGGCTTCCACCGAGAGCGTTTGGCTCCGTGGCCTCTGCGCCGAGCCTGCCTCGGTCATTTTGCGGGCGCCCTGCCCCCAGCTCCTGTGCCCTGACTCTGGCTGGGGAAGAACATCGGTCTCCTTGGCTCTGTCCAGTGAGCTGCCAAGTCACATGGTGGCTTTTTCAGGGAACGAGAGCTGGAGGGGGTAAGAAAATGAGTAAACGTTTCCAGCCGGTCTTCACGAGAGACGGAGCTCTTTTCTTAGGCTGAAATAAAGATAGCTTTGGGGGGGAAATTAGCTGATGGAAGCCATTTTCTAGTCTCTGTGAAATGTCGAGACAGAACTTGGAGATGGCTTATTATATATCAGCAAAAAGTGAATTGTTCACTAGAATCAACTTGAACTTTAAAAAGTGGCTCAGTTTATACTCAAGGATGGTTTTCTTCTAGAGCAACTGCTAGGGGCCCTTCGGGGGACGTAAGGTGTAATAAATACCATATGGAGACAAGAGAGCCTAAAAATAAACATTATCTCGGTTTGTTTTCTGTACCGTCTCCTGGCCTCAGATCTCAAGACAGCAATACCAAAATGCCTTGATGGCGTCCCGGATGGACAAAACTCCTCAGTCTTCAGACAGTGAAAACACTAAAATTGAATTGACTCTTACGGAGCTGCACGACGGGCTGCCAGACGAGACGGCCAACCTGCTCAATGAACAGAACTGTGTGACGCACAGCAAGGCCAACCACAGCCTGCACAGCGAGGGCGCCATCTAGAGCACCGGCCTCGGCCTCCGCGCCTGACCGTGAATCCCATTAGCGTGCGCTTGTGTGCCATGCTGCATCCTGCACCGTCCTGAGACCAAAGACTTTGTCCCCTTCCTGGAAGCAGCAGAGGAGGCCGGGGAGGGCAGGAATGGAAACTGGAGACGCGAAATCGACAGCCAGGGCGTGGCATTCGAGATTATGGAGATGAATTTCTTCCGCCCAAATAGAATCATGTTTATTTTTTCAGCTGTACCTTTTATCATTATCCACTCTCCTCCTCCCTCGATTTGCATGAAGTTGAAAATTGTTGCGATTTATTTTTTTCCGAGAGATCATGTTTTTAAAAAGTGTCTTTTGCAGAGTTTTAAATTGTTCTGTCTGAACTCTGCTGTGACCCCATGATGTAACCATAGAAGGATGGACTTGTCCCTCCAGTGGCCTTCCTTGGCCCCCGCCCCAGGGAGGGGCACCCTTCCTCTGTGCCCCAGCGGGTGTCGCTGTCGAACTTCAAGGATGAATGACACAGACCTGCCCAGGCTGTTGGCCCTGAAGGGTGGAGCCTGCACAGGGACCTGCAGCCTCTCTGAGCTCAGTGTTGTTTTATGTTGATGTTTAACGGTGTCCCTTTCCCTCAGAAAGGTTTAACGTTTGCTTGGAATGTGATTTTGCTCCCACTCTAAGGAATTTTTATCACCAAAATGAATGTTAATGGATTTTAAACCTATGGTTTATCTTTGCAAGAGGTGAGGTGGCTTCACCCCAACATTCCCACAGCCTGGGGCCTCCAGCTCAGCCAGGCCTCTTCCGCCCCAGCTTACAGAGCGCCGTCACCCACCGCCCCGTCCTTGCTCTTGTTAACCCACGATGCTGCTACACAGATGCCAAATGGAAATCTTCCACAGGGCCCTCGAGTAAACTCGTGGTGTGGAGTCCACGCTCCTGCCCTTCCCACTGGGATGTATGTCATTGTCAGAAAAGGAGTCGGACCTTCCAGCTGTGCTCTGTGCACCCTGCTGAGAAGGCACGTCTAGGCCCATGTGTCTAAAGGAGGGAACACTGGGGACTGCCGGCACCTGCCCCCTTCCCCTGTCCCTGGGCCCGCGGGGCCCAGCAGTGGCTGTGTCCCCGCCTGAGGACCTCTGTGTCTCCCGCCTCAGACGTGGTCCACGCCAGAGAGGCTGCCCATACAGCCAGGGTCAGTTTGGCCCCAAACAGGGATTCAGAAACCAAATGTGTGTTGTGGCCATTTCATGTGTGTCTCTGTCTTATTTTACTATCAAATTCATCACGTGTAGTGAAATTAATGTCAGGAGGTATTTCTTGAGTGACTGAATTCCTAACTCTTCTATCTGTGTTTTAAGTGTTAACCCAAGGGATATGTGCATTTTGTCGGCAACATTCGTACACTGAAATGACTTCCTACTGACCACAGTTTTCACATAGACCTGTCAGTCCTCGCTGCGTCCAGTCACTAGGTGAGAAGATAGCATCTTCTCCACTGGGTCTCACTGCACGAAGGGAAGCCCTGGGGCTAAGCGGCAGTTTCTTCTCCTTCCTCCAGGTAGGACTGTGCACCCCAGGCTGCGCGCTGGCTGGCGGGTGGGAGCTGCGGTTGGGAAAGAACCAGCAACACGCTGGGCTTGCCTCCCGGTGAGCAGCTCGGTGGCTCCAGTGTCATGTGTGTACCTGGCGCAGTGTTTCCCCTGGGATGTTGGTCCTGGAGCATCTTCCTCAGAAGGTGCCGTGCCCCTTAGTGAGGGAAGTACTGGTCTCACCTGGTAGAAGTCACCAGGTGCCCCCTCAAGGGGCTGAGTGGCCTGCTGCGGGCACCCAAATCAGAGCACCGTGGGATGGTGCTCCCACCGCAGAGCTTGACGTTAGTGGGACCCTGTACTGTATTTGCTTTTATAAACAAGCCCATCCAAGTGTAAAGGTCTCTCTTAAGATGCGTCTAGCTGAGCACAGCGTCAGTATGACATGACACGGGAACTGGGATTATCTGTAGGGGGTGCAGAAATGAGAGAGAGTTCCCTGTAACAGAGTGAAACCCGGGCCTTGCTAGGGGAGGAGGCTTCTGCCCCAGCCAGCACGCCACGCTCTGGGCCGGGACAGCAGTGCCATCCCTGTGGTCTGGCGCAGCCGGGCTGCCAAGCCGTGGTTCCTCTGGCCTCCTGGATCTTCTCCTGTCAGCTTCCCCTGGCCTATCTGCTTTGATCTGCCTCTCCACACGCAGTCCGTCTCCGGGCGCCTTGCTACTGGAAGGAGCCTCTGGAATCACAGTTACTGTGCTGGATCTTTTTTGGAGCCCCACTGCTGCTCTGTGAATCCTAAAGCCCTTTTGAGAGGATTCCAGCTGCTGGCTCCTTGACTTCAGGGAGAAATGGTTAACGTTTCCATACTGTCTTACCTGCTCAGTGTGTGGCTTTTTGAAAAGTCCTCTCTATAAAGGAGCTGGCACAGGGGGGCTTTGCAGTAGGGCTCCTGGAGGACGAAATTTGAGCCTCCCAAGTTCATATTTATTTTCTATAAACTACTCTTTACCTTTGATTTTTCACACTGTTTTATAACAACAGGGAGTCCCAAATAAGTCCTGTCTGGTCCCTGAAGGAATGAAGGCTAACATTTGGCTACAGTTATATCTGCTTTGGGCAAGGCCCAAGACCCTTCAGATGGTAACACTCAGTATCTGAGCGACAGATTCCTCTTTCAGGCCCCCCACTTTCCTTCTGGAAACTAACTTCAGGCTGTTGAAGGAGAAATGCTGGCTCATGGCTTCTGTGGGGCAGCAGGAGAATGATTTGGGTAAGGTCTATGCGGTTCATGTCTACAAAGTAAATGAGAGCAAGGCAGAGAAAGACCATCAAATAGTTGAGATCTTGATGTGCAGCGGCCCGTCCTCGGCACTACTGGTGGGTCGTCCTCTCCTAGGGCTGCTGGCTTCGTAAGCGTGGGGAGCGGGCTGTGGAGCAGACACAGGGCCCGGGGTCCTGAATTCTGTGGGAGCTCCGTTGTCAGGCCAGGGCCTCGCACTCCTTTTCGGTGGCCCCTGCTGCAAGCCCTGGCTCTGAGGGACCAGACAGGGCCTCCCCCTCTCCTAAGCAGCCACTCTGGCATCCCGAAGCTTCCTCCTGGAACTGGATTCCTAGTATCCAAGTGTTCCTGGGACAATCTGCTTTCTCTTCATAAATGAGGGAGACTTTCTTCCTACTGCTTTAGAGTTTCCCTCCCTTTAATTCTCTGTTTCACGTGCATCAGGCAAGTTCTAAAATCATATGTTTAAACTCTTAGGAAAACAGAACCTTAAGATTTGTGCATGGAAACTGAGATGTTAATCAACTAGCTTAATTAAGCCTTGGTTCTTACATAATTTGAATGTGAAAGGGCACCCCATGTAACTCTTTTTTCCCCTCCTTCCTCACCTCACTTCTGGAAGAGAGCTCAGTGCCCGTGCTGACAGTGTTGTCTTCCCCAAGTGGGAGGAGTAGGGCATCTTGCCATTTTCTAATATTTCAAGGAGCTTTTGTGCAAATGTTGAATGCAAAACTTCACACTAATATGGAACATTAACTGTGAATATATTTACTTGTGCTATCCCCAGTACCACACAACTAAAGGTCCAGCTTTTCCAACTCTAGGAAAACAGTGCTAGATACAAGTAGAACTGCATTTCCCTTAGGAAATGAAGCCACGGGAATTTGGGCTTAGCAGGGACCATGAACTTCTGTCCTCAAATTACCTCAGGTTGAGGAGCAGACCTAAGTAGGCCCTGGCCAATTGAACCTGTGTCCTGGCTGGTCAAAAACAAAAACAAAACCCAACCCTGTCATCTTCTGAAAAACCAGCCAGGGATCTGACCATCTTTGCCTTGCCTGGGCCAGGAGAGCAGGACTCCTCCAGTGTTCCCCAGGGCCCGGCCTCACCTGGGCTGGCACGGGAAGGTGCTCACCTTGTTCCCTGGGATTCTAAGCAGGGGGCCACCAGGGAGGGTTGGCTTGTGCATGTCACATGACACAAGCTCCTTGCTCGCAGGAGAGCAGGAACTGTTCCCCTCTCAGCTTTGATCCCGGAGACGGTTTTCTTGGCGGAGCGTTGAAGACCACGAGGCTGAGCTGGCAGTTCAGGGAGCGGAGGCTTCTGAGGCTCTTGTCCTGGGTCGGGTGTGATTCTATTCCAGCCGCTGGACTAGTGGTGCTTCTGTCCAGCAAGGGCATCTTGGTGGGTTGCAGGTTAGCCCAGAATTAGGAGGGATTTAGAGAGTTCAATATGGAAGTGATCTGGGGATTCAGAAACTTTTCCCATGTAAATGGATCAGTGAGCAACCTACTCAGTGGATTTTTATACCTCAGGGCCATTTGCAAATCTTTATCTTTCCACGTTTCTTTTGTATTTGCGTGGGCTGATAGGAGAGATGAGTTCGGAGGGTTCTAGGATGATGTTTGTTCATTTGCCTCGGTTTGCGGATGTGCGGGGCACCCGCACCAACCTTGCTCAAGGCTGTGGCAGTGGGCCTTCCTCCTCCGGCACGTGCGGGCACCCTTCCTGCAGGGAGTGCTTACATGCTGCTTTTCCTTCTGCCCTGCCTGAAGATGCCAGAGCCCCTGGTCAGCCCTAAGAACAGGAGGAAGATGGCAGTTCACAGCAGCTGCAGAGCTTGGAGCAGCTTTCCTCCCACTGTCTTGGGCTGGGGACCTTCTTTGCTCTTCAGACCTTTGCCAAGGTTATCTCGGCTCAAGTAAGCTTTCTCACTGTATAGGTTAGAGCCACTGAGGTCATCTCAGAAGAATTGTTTTAAGTATCAGGCTGTACTTGAAGCAACATGGAAACAAAGGTTCTAAATGGCAAGAGAGTAAAGTTCTAGGAGTTTGTGTGCCGAGGTTTATGTGTGCACAGATCCAACACATACTATAAGACTTCAGTGAGTACTCATTTTCAAGTCTCCATACCCACTGGGTATTAAACATAAACGAATTGGAAGAATGACTGGGAGTATTGTTTTGCCTCACTTGGCAGGGTATCTTCCAGCATTTGCCCACATCTGACCAACATGGATTCACTCGAGAAGTGATTTCTTTTGGGGCCAGCTTCCTCTTCAGACTCACCCTGGAGAGAACTATCAAATGGACCTGGTGGGCCTTGAGTGCCTGCCCTTTTTGTTGGAGGCCCAGGCCCCTTGGATATAAACAGCTGGTTTCAGGCTCCCAGAGCAGAAGGGAGAGGGAGAAAAGTAAGGCCTCAGGACTCCTGTTCCCCAGAGAGCCCCAGCCTTGCTCCTGATTCATTACTCCCCGTGTCTAAAGTCTACTGTGAAGGTGGAGTGTGTCAGTCCGTTGACTTTTCTTGTTTCTGGAGTCCTTTTAAGTCCACAAATGTATATGCTTTATTTTATATTATTATTTATTATGTACATATGCCTCTACTGTTAGTACATCGTCTGTGACTAAGATGAGATCTGTTCTGGAGCCCCTCATCCATGGAGCCTAGGGTTCTGTTGTCTTTTAAAGTGGGTGAGAAGGAGCGGTTTTGCTTTTGTCTTGAACAGGTTGCTGCTCTTACGTTGGTCCTAGTGTCCCGGCCCCTGTTATTGGGCCCACCTCTATTCCTGATGGCAGGTGTTTGAGATGAGGATGGAGGCAGGTCTTTACTTCATGGCAGGGCCTCTCAAGTACCTCCGTGAAATACTTTAGAGGTGGTTTCCTGGTGACTGGGTCTATTCTCTGGGTAATGGTACAGCGTGGCTGTGAGGCCACAGCCTCCTTCCTCACTCCCACACTCCCAAGCCAGGTTGGTGGCCTGGTCCCACAACAGTGATGGTCTCTAATTCCCACCTTGGATTGCAGAATCCATCTCTCTGGACCATGGAAGCTGCCTGCCCACCTGGGCTTCTAATATGCCTTTTCTTGGTTTTGAGGCCCAATGCCAACACTGCCTTGGCGCCTCAAATAAGACCCTGCTTTGAGTCTGATTTCCATCCTCCTTAGCCTTTACTCACTGTATCATAGTGTACATTTCATGCTTTGTAGCAGTGAAGTTTTTGAACACAGTATCCAGAGCTGTGTATATAAACCTAAATAAGCACAAATGACATGTATAGGTTTCGTGAGCTGATTGTCATAATGAATGCATTTTATAATTCAAATGATGTTGTAGATTTACAATCTCTCCTATTTATTTTGTATCAATTTATTTGTAAATTTTGTGATTGTTTTAAAAGGTTTTTGTTCATTTCTATTATTCTGTTTAGATAAATGATTTCTGTTCACCCTTCTAGCGAATGTGTGTTCCCTCTTTCCCCTGTCACCTGTGCAACACTGACCTCGGTCCCCTGCCTGGTGGGAAAGCTGGGATTGGTGGTCGTCATGGCAACACAGCAGAGCGTTCCCTTTGGACGTACACCACCAAGTCGTATGTTAAAAGGGAAGCGGGTGCTAGAACTGAGCCTGCGACTTCCAGCCTGGTACAGCCAGTGCCAGGGGTGTGTTCTCTTTTTCGAGGATTGTAATCTGTCCCCCATCAGTTCATTTTAGATAAAGATACTGGGGCTATCCACTCAAACTGCCCCAGACATTTGCCACTCAGTCACTAATAACACACACTTCAGCTGGCAAATCTCTAAGCTGTTTTTTCCTAGGCAAGACCAGAGGCCTCACTCAAGCCTCTCAATTGGCTCTTAAAGATGAAAATGGCTCTGCAGATCCTTCTCTGCGATGGGAAGCCTAGGAGAATGGTTGCAGCAGGCACAGATGGTCCACCCTCAAGTTAAAAACACTGGGCATTGAGTGTGGTGAGTCATGGTCAGATGCTCTTCAGGATTCAGTGGGCCTCCTGCGTTCCCTAATAAGCCACATCCTCTTCCATTGTCCCTTCTATTCCTTCTACCCTCCTCACTCATGTGACCAGACTCTGAAGATCTTCCGGTCGAGGTTCATGGCCCCTCTGTGATCTATTCCTAGACCACATTCTTTTGGAGTCCTTCTTCCCTCCACTCTTAGTCTCTGTTTTACATTCTTCTGAGAATTGAGCCTCTTGATGACTGGTCCCTTGTTTTTCCTACCATATTGTTTTAACCATGATGTTCTCGGTCTGTTTTACTTACACTAGTCCTGTGGATGGAGACATTTCAGTGAAGAACTGCTGACAAGACGGGCCGAGACACTTCCTGACCTAACCAGTGCTCCCACCTCCCCAATCATCACCCCCAATTTCTCGAAAGTGGAACAAGGTAGATTACATTCCAGTGAAGTATTATCTTCTTGGGAGCCTGTTAGAAGCAGAGCAGAAAGCAGCAAGCAGTGCCGGGAAAGGAATTCTCTCTCTAGCATGTCTCCTCCCAGTTGGCTGCTGTGCTTATTAGTTTTTCCTGCTTTACTCACTTTGTCTAGATGAGTCCTGAGCTCAAATCAGGAAACTCTCCAAGGGAAATAAAGGTGGTTTTTCCTATTGTGAAGATGGGATTTGCCTAAGCCTTCCCTCTGCATCCATGGGGTTGCCCACATGTCAGTTCACTTCTCAGCTGTATCATGATAAAGGCTCTGGGGTTTCTATTGCGTCTAACAGATTATGCTCCCCAGCACCTCTTCTCGACTCAGCACTTCTGAGGACACAGATAATGATCAGATGGTCTTGTAGAGAAAATGACTGGTACAAACTGAACGACCTTTTTGTAGCCTGGAGCTGATTTCTGAAAGCACACTTTTTGAAGGTAATTCAGTTTAATAGAGAGATGATTTCTTATTAAAGCCAAAAGGCTGAATTACATGAGATGGCTAATAAACGTTTGGCTTCTTTGTATGATTGTTTGATCTTTTTCCCTGAGGTCCTCATATCTCTGCTCTTTCAAAAAGCCCCAGAACAAAGCAATGGTTATAGTGCCTCTCTGTGACATTCTGGTGGCATGCCATCTCCCCTGGTAGATGATTGTGAGGTCTAAGGACGCAAGGGGGAATCGGTTACAGGAATTCTTTGTCAGAGTGCTTTTCCTGCTAGGGTAGGAGTGATTGTGAAGCACTCAAACAGTAGGCCAACACATGGCAGGAATTTTAGATGAAGCCAGCTTCCTTGCCACAATTCTGCTACATCATTGACTTGAGGGCAGTGGGTCCAAAAATGAAGTTACTTGCTTCAAAATATGTGTACCGACAAGTTAAAGATTACCTTTGGTACAAACCCTCTCTCAAAGACTGGACATTTAATAAACATTTTTCAGTGGTGGGAAGGTTTGCGTGACAAGTCCTCTTGCCAAGTATCTCAGGAACTTGTGAGACTTGGAAGGACTATTGCTGTCTTTCATGTGAAGACTGTGCGTGCACTCAGCTGCTTGGGCTCCAGTGTGTATGATGAGGTTTATCTTGGCCTAGACTCTCCAGGCCTCATCTATAGCCCTGGCCAGACATGGCTTTGGGAAGAGCACAATGGGAGAGGCAGCGCATTTGGGTGAATATTTGTACCTAATTTGATTCATGAACCAATCTGTCTAACCCATTTCTTTTCTAGTAATAAAATGGAGCAAAGGTATCTTATAGGAAGGAACATAAAGGGACCAGACCAAAAACTTCTGTCATTTTAAATTAGAAAATAGCTTACTTACACTTGCAGTAAGAGTCGACAAGCTTGAGATGAGGTGTTGCGTGTTCAATCGGGAGTACTTTTTTCTGTTAAAGCTCTTTAGAGAGACTTAAACTATTGTTTATATTTTATTGCATACCTTTGTGGGAACAAGTCAGATAGTTGTGGACTTGGGATGAAGACATCGTGTCTGAGGCCAGGGGAGAAATGGTTGAGATTGTCGGGTTAAACAGAAAAGCTGCCTTGTTCATTCTGTAAACCAATGCATTCTCTCCGTAGATGACTTGCTTTCTGCTATTCCTACGTGCTCAGCTGTGAGAACAGCGTGCAGTGCCCCATCTCCGTTCGTGGAGGTGTGAGATGGGACGACGTGGATTCCTGGAAGTCACCGGCTCTGCGTCCCGGCTGCTGTGCACGTGCACGTCCTCCCTGCTCTCTGGTGGCTGTGCACCGGTCCTTTTTTTCAAGGCTGTTCAGGTAGCTCCATGGTCTAGATTTCATTCTCAGGGCCTCCCAAAGCTGTGTATCATTTGAAATTGTTCCATTTGAGGAAAAACTTTAAGAATAGCTCTATGCTCTAGTCACCAAGAAAGAATGTCATGAGAAACCTAAGTATTGAGACGTAAACTGCTGAACTGAGGATCTGGGATTAAGTGTATGGCAATAGCTAGATCATAGTTACCATTTTTCCCACCATCAAAGAAAGGTTAAATAGTTTCCATAACATGGAATGTGGACAAGGCTCCTACTCTTAATGCAGACTTAGATATGCAGTTGTTTGTCTCAGGCTATTTGTGGTGAATAAGCAGAGTATTTTTAAATGCTCTGGCAGCCTTGGAAAAACTGCAGGGCTTTAAAGTTGCTGACAAAATATTTCTTAAATAAATAAATCTGATTTAGGAATATCTAAACATGGACAAAGTACTTTTAAATCTGACATGTCACTGCAAGTGGCTTTTTAAAGTGGTTGCTTAAAAACAATACTAACATGTCTAAAGGATTTGCAGCTCTCAGTTTTTCTGTTAAGACCCACTTTTCCTAAAAGCATCTTAGAAGGGGTATGTTGAAGGGCTTGTTTTCTTATTTTAGGTCTCAGCAGAGCTTACGGTAGGAAATTTAAGGCTTTCAGTAACTTTTCTAAAATACACCATCTGAGCTTTACCTGACCATCTCTGTAGAGAGGAATGCACAGGACAAGGCCTCTTGCAGACGCTGGGCTGTGGTCTGCTGTGCCTCTGACCGCTGCTGGATATACTAGGGTGCCAGGGGGCCTCACAAAGTCTGAAACTAAGCGGTGTTTTCCAAATACCCAGGAAGGAAGTTCTGAAAAGAGTTGGGAGAGCTTCCTCTCAGTCTAAACACCTTAGGGTTTTTTTTTTACACGGAAAATTATAACTTTATGTTTCGCTTCCTTAATTATTAGCAACAGAGAGAAACTCATATTCATGTTTTAACAAGTCCAGTTACAGCTGCTCTGAGTCCCTGCCCAAGGACCACTTACTTCCCAGCACTCTTCTAACAGGAGTAATATGCAGAGAAGCAAAGGCTCTGCTCTGCGCCTTAGACTCCTATGGAATCTTAGCTCTTTAAAGTATATTTTGGCGGTCCTAAAGAAAGCTGTAACCAGTAGTGGAATTCTTATTCCAGGTGTGTGCTTTTCATTTCTCAGTCTTTGGACCCACTACCAGAGACTCGTCTAGTTGAAAAGAAACTCTTAGATAAGATCTTATGTGAATAAAACAAAACAAAAGGGGTGGTAAATTAAAGCAACGTGATCATGTTGGGCCTTGCTCTAACAGGGGAGATATTTAAAGGTACTATTAAATTAGCCATGTAGTTGTAATAAGTCACTCAGATATTATTTGGCTCTGGGAACACTGAAGACAGTGTCAAACTGGGCAGCATCTCCATCTTGAATGAGAATAATTAATAGCTGGGGTGATCACAAACATATTTGCTAAAATTTAAAACAGGAGCAATATCTAATTGCTATAACAATTTCTTTTTTTTTCTTTTCTATTTATATACTTTGCCCATTTTATTTATTTATTCATTTTGGCTGCGTTGGGTCTTTGTTGCTGCACGCGGGCTTTCTCTAGTTGTGTCGAGTAGGGGCAACTCTTCATCGCGGTGTGCAGGCTTCTCATTGCAGTGGCTTCTCTTGTTGCAGAGCACGGGCTCTAGGCAAGCGCAGGCTCAGTAGTTGTGGCGCATGAGCTTAGTTGCTCCGTGGCATGTGGGATCTTCCCGGACCAGGGATCAAACCCATGACCCGTGCACTGGCAGGCAGGTTCTTAACCACTGCACCACCAGGGAAGTCCCTGCAATAGCATTTCTAACCTAATACTTTAAAAGTAGCATAAATTCCTAACAGATACCAGAATGTATATGTCTTGATGTGACAGTGTAAAGCCCTACACATTCAAAGTGGTGATGTAATATGGCCTTGGCTAAGTTACTGAGCCGTGTTCCCTACCTATAAAATGATTTTTAAAAAAAGGGAAGGAAAAAAAAAAAAAAGGGAAAAAAAAAGCCTCACCTCGTAGTCCTGTACCAAAAAACTTTCCATGAAAAAACTGAGGCCTATTTAAGTGCTATAAATTTAGCCATTAATCATGCTAGACTATATTTCCTTTAAGAGAAAGTCAAATTGATATCACTAAGTCAAACCTAAACCCACGGACTTCCCTGGTGGCGCAGAGGTTAAGAATCTGTCTGCCACTGCAGGTGTCACGGGTTCGAGCCCTGGTCCAGGAAGATCCCACATGCCACGGAGCAACTAAGCCTGTGCGCCACAACTACTGAGACTGCGCTCTAGAGTCTGCGAGCCACAACTACTGAGCCCGTGTGCCACAACTACTGAGCCTGTGCTCCATAACAAGAGAAGCCACCTCAGTGAGAGGCCTGCTCACCGCAACTATAGAAAGCCCGTGTGCAGCAACAAAGACCCAACACAGCCAAAAACAATTAATTAAAAGAAAACAACAAAAAAAACCCCTAAACCCACTTGAAGACTAGCAGTTACTATAGTTGTGCTACAGGAAGGGGTCAAAGTCAGTATTAGAAATATACTTTATTGACTTCTAGAGCAGCTAATCTACCCTCCCGTGTTGACAAATGACAGTAAGAATGGAAGAAACATATGAAGGTTAAAGTAAGAGTCTACACCACTGTGAAAAATGTTGTAACAACTTTCACTGTTCCGGTGAGGCAGTTATAATACCTTAAAGTATACAGTGATGATCCATTCTTGTTCTGAACAACAAGAAGTGATTTCACTTGGGATTCTGAAGTGAATTTATCCACGTTGATTGTGCCCTGTTTTTGTAAAGGTTCTGGCTTACAGAGCCCTCTTCCCACCCTCTTATGCTTGAATTTGAAATACAGCAAGAGGATACAGAAGGCTGGAATGGGGTGGCATGAGCCACACTATATGGCCCACACTAATGAATTTTACTCCGTTATGGTGTAATATAAGAAGGAGGTTCTCTTCTTTTTGGGTGGCTTGATCCTTTGTCCTCTTTCAGCTGAATTCTTTCTATAGATTTATCCCAGATGAGAAAAAGACTGTTTTTGGATAATAAACAGTTTTGCTATCAATCAAAATCATGTAGAAGTGGATGAAGACTTCTGCCTCAAAATGAAATTGCTGCAGTCCATTCCAGACCAGCCCTACCTACAGCAAGTAGAGAACACATCTGCTACGCCACTGACAGCAGCCTTACTGGAGTCACTGAGGACACTTACAAAAGCTTGTAAAGGAACCTTGACCTTAACAGAAGACTACATTTGATAATGGAAATAATATATTTCTCCACTGATATATAATACTTATGCAATGCACTGAAAAAGATGGATTTTGGAATAAGAGCACAATTTGTACCATAACATTTTTGGATCACCTCTTCCCATTGTCTTCCTTGCTCCACTCTGAGACCCTTCACCACCCTTAGTGTATCTGGATACACTATGACATACTGATGATGAAACAAGACAAGGCAACAGTGTCACAAGCCACGATGGAGCCAGCTGCATGCAGTTCAGCCCAGCTTTACCCTTACTTTCCTCCAGTACAGACTCCATTACAATTCTGAACCATCTGCAAAGAGTGCAGACACACAAAACTAAAACAAGTATCCCCTACGATTAGAGTATTTCTTCAGAAACTTTCCGGATGTACCTTTGATGGAGCCCCCCCACCCCCCACAGGGACATCCTTTACTCCTGGGAGTCCTGCCAGAACTTGTTTAATGGGTGCTCAGAGTTTTGCTTTTCCTCCTCATTCTTCCTCTTCCTCCTCTTCCTCTTCATCATCATCTTCATCATGGCAGTGTGTAATTTCCTGGGGGGCCAGTGGGAAGAGGTTGGGGGGCTTAATCTCACTAATCGACCGTGTCAACTGGTGACGTTTGTAGTCGGTATCTTTGAAATCCACTGATGTACGGTTCCGGGTTGCAAGAGGGGACTCCATCTCATTGATATCTACATGTGTGTGTTCCACTGTTGACTCATGAGGCATCTACAACAAAGTCAGAGGTTCAGAAAGCAGGCAGAACAAAACAGCTGTCTCCCAGGTCCTAATCCCTCTGCCTTTGTTAGATGGCTGTACAGAAGCACCTATAATGGACCAGAGGCCAAGCCAATTCAGCTACTGAAGTATCTTCCTAGAACTTCCTAAAGCTGCCTATCCTCTCTTCTCTCCCACTCAAAACTGTGCCCACACTGTATACTATAGCCTGAAACTGGATAAGATGGGAGAGAAGAGATTATTATTTCCTATTTATTTCACAGCAAAAAAGTCTTGAAATATAGATCAGTATTGGAATATAGGAATTTAAAACTACACTTCTCTCATTTAGCACTAATAATAGAGGAAAGTCTTTACCATTCAAACAACTTTTAAACCAAGTAGTTTTCAAAGTAAAGTTAAGCTCTGTAACATTCTATCTTGCTCATACCTTCCCATAACTCCTTTTTGGTGCAACCATGTAACCTGGCTCTGGGCTTTGCACATTGGAAAGAAATGATCTGAACTTTCCTGTACCATGCCAGATAGCTAGTGGCAGCTCTTGGCCTTAACAGCGTTATCTTAACTGCAAAGAGTAGCCTTAGGCTATATAACTCACCAAGACGTGGGCAGCTCTGAAGAGGTAGCTGAACGGGTAATACAGCAGATTAATGAAAGATGCTGCATAGAGATCAGCATAGCGCATCACCTGACTGGCAAAGAGGGTCTGCCGGGAGCCACTGCGAAACAGGCTTCCCATCATCCCGTAGCACATGTCCATGTCATGAGTTACTTTCTAAAGCAAAGAACAAGATTAAGGCTCAGCTCATTCGATAAATGTTTACTGAACACTGGCTATGTGCCACTCCCTGTATAATATCAGAAATCACTTAAAGTTTATTTTCGAAGTTTTCTCCCAAATCCCATTTGGATACCTTAATACGTCTCTGGATGGAGCTAATGTCGGGGCGCTCATTGCTGCTGCTGTCAAGGTGCCTGGAGACAAGAAAAATCCAGTGAAAATCTCCAGAAAGGACGTCTCTTACCTCTAAGTGACTCCTGAAGAGGTAGATGGTTTTTAGGGAAGAAATTTTTAGGGTTAGGAAACTTACTTGTAGAGTTCAGCCAAGAAAATATCCAGGCTCTGAAGCTCTTCGAAAAGTGCTAAAGTTTGGAAGAAAAAGGAAAATGTTTTAAGTAAAACAAAAATCATCTAGTTTTTAACTATTGCTAAAACTAAAGTAAAAGGCTGCAGATATGACTGAAAAGTAAAGCTATAGGTGAGCGTGTAAAATGACTTCCTTCCCCCACCTTCGGGAAAACCCACTGACACTGCTTGGAATCTGGCAGATGACGCCAGCATTTCCTCCTACTTAAAACCACCCACTACATACAACTTTCCTAACTGGATGCTGATTCTGAGCTTATAAAGTGCCAATTCATACCCCATCTCAGGTGTGTCAGCAAAGCAAGTGTTAACGGTTCCATCTTTAGATAAAAGCATAAGTCACAAGTCCAGAAAACAGAACCAAATCAACTAGATTTCTAAAATTCTATAGGTAGAAAGTTGAAAATGTAGATGAGAGGCTAGCCAGAAAATCCCACCAAGAAGTACAAACAATAGCAACAGCCACTATACGTTGCATGCTTTCTGTGTGTTCTAGCCTTTCTCAACCTGGGTTCCCCAACGAGAATCAAGCCATGATGTATCCACTGTATATAACAAATCTTCTTTATCTACCATCTTTGGGAGAACCGAGAGTCATTCAAATCATTTTGTCTGTCCTGTGGTTCAGATGAGGAGCCTCGGCTGAGAAAGGTTGTTACTTCCATCTCCTTTATGCAGGCAGCTTTATGAGAGTAGGTGTTACCCTCATTTTCACATATGAGGATACTAAGGCACAGGGTGTTTCAGTAACCTGCCTGAGGGCTGAAGATAGTAAGTGGGGGAGCCAGGGTCACTACCTGAGGCAGGCTGAGTTTCCAGAGGCAGGACCTTCCACCACGCTGTGAGTGATGCTAGCTAGGACTGGCTGGAGAACTTATGTGTGTCAAACATCTTTACATAACTAGGGTCAAAGCTCAATTCAGTGCAGAGTATAGCTCAGTTCAGAGAGTGCCTCATTCTCTACTTCTCAGAAGAGCAAATAAATACCGGGTGATCAGCACTCAGAGCCATCAATACCCCAGAATCACAGATATGAGCTGGTGGCAGAGAGACTGGAACTAGCAGGCATGACTGAACAAATAAGGGACTACAGAGGTAAGCAGAGTTCACTTTCAGCTGCTACTGTAACATAACTCAGACCAGTAATATTCTAAACTTTAAAGGGATTCAAGAAGAAGGCTGAACAAGATAACCTCAAAAATTCTGGGCTTCTGTGAAATATCTGGCTCTATGAGAAGGAGGTATCCAAATATAAGGGCCCATCTTTTGACCACCTCTGTCTGACCCCCTGCATACAAAGTAATGGTTCATCAAAGAGGACTGATTCATAGCTGGCCATTCAGATATAAACTAGCTACGTCAAAGATTTATAAAGTAAGAATAATGGCTCCTTACAACTCTTATCAGTCCAGACATGCA